ACTTGAGGACTCCTGTTCATCGAGAGCGACTGCAGCAACCCCCTCTTCCTGCGGGTGCTGTTGGAGGGGATGTGGCTGACGTCCTCAATCCACCAGATCTTCACTCCTGAACAGGCAAGGGCTCTAAGGGCGACTAGGACCCAGGTCCAGGGGTCTTGTTCCATTTCCTTCGTGACCTGGAGTTTGATGTGGAGGGCAGTGATGCCCAGCAACTTCACCTCTGGGCTACATCCTGGGCAGCCAACATGGCAGCATAGGGAGAGGACTCATCTGGGTCAGCCTTCACCTTCATCCCACCAGTCACATGGCAGATGGTTTCCATGCCAGAAAGTTCAGTGACATGAACAGAAGTGTCATTGAAGGATGCAAAGATGTGTCAGATACCAAACACATTCTCTCCTTTAGCTACCTGAGGTCCAAGGCTGATGACCTGTTCTTCCTTCCCTTTGGAGGTGCCATTTCTGCATGTCTTCTCCAGATTCCACCACCAGAAAGCAAATTACTTGTAATATCTTACTGTCAGAAATTATAAAATCTGTACCTCTTTCATAGCATAGTTATATAAGGATTAAATAAGGTAACACATGTAGAACACTTAATACAGTGCCCATGAATTTGTTAATCAGTGTCAAATGTTAGTTGTTTTTACTGTTGGAGAGAGAAGCTCTGATTTCAAACCCAGACCTGCCATTTATTCTCTTTGTGACATGGGTGAACTTCCAGATTAGCTAATTAGGGGCAGGAGTAGGTAAATCGGGTATCTTCAACTCAAAGATTGGTTTCTAGGCCACCATTTGGGACCTACTTATCTCAGGCTTGTCTGGTTTGGTTTACTTATCAATAATATGGAGTCAGTAATACCACCCAAGAGGCTAGAATGATAATCATGTTGAGATGATTATGGGGAAAGACCTGGATTCACAACAAATGTTGAGTAAGTCTGAATGATTATATTGTTCTATTCTCAGCAATATTTCTTGTCATGTTTGGGTCTTCGTTATGACCTCTTCTTGATTTTGCCTTCCCTTTATCTTTCCCTGGTACCTATCTTCTCCCATCACTACCCCTTCAGGACTCTTCTGGCACACGGTGTTGGTTGGTTCTGCAACCCCTTTCTTCTTTGCCTACTCTCTCCCGCAAAGCTGCAAATGCCCATGCTCACATTCCCAGCTTTCCTTGCAGCTCCTTGGCAGAGCCACCTCGGCAAATTGGTGATCACTAGCCAGTGAGATGTGAGGACAGTGTCCTAGAGACTTTAGGGAAACAGAGACAGACTCCTGAGGACAGCACCTTGGCCATCCACCTCTTCCTTCCTGCTTTTGACATTGCCACATGATGAAGTAAGGTTTAGTGCTGCTTCAGCCACCTTGTGACCATAAGTGGGGGCATTGCTGATGCACTGAAAGTAGCAAAGAGATGACGAGAGCCCATGTCCCTAATGAATCCCTGAGCAACTGAGCCAGTGCTGGAACTTTTGTGTTTAGATTTCAATCCTGAGGGATTCTTAAACATATTAGTTGGATGGTCTGTTAATTGCTGCTAAGAGCATCATCATTGGCATGACTTAGCTTTTTTCTTGGTCTGCTCATCTCTTTCCCTGTCATTCCTCTTCCCCCCAGTTTCTTTCCTCTCAACCCCTGAGTTGATCCACAGGGCACTGAGGTGATTATCAAACACAGAGGGCACAAATAAATGAGTCCCCTAGCTCCCCAGAATAGGCATGTCCTGATGGACTATCTGATGAATCAATCCAGATCCTATCGTTACTGCCATCACCCAAAGATTGAACAAGGAGAATATTTCTTTCATAAAAATCTAAGCCTTTAGAGTGGTGTTAGAAGTTATCTCAATAAACTTATCAAGTACTCACTGCATGTAATGGACACAGGAAGAAGATTCAGCCTTCACCTTTGAGAAGCTGACCTGCTAGCATATAGTCAACCACAACACTGGGCAATACGTGAAGAGCTACAGAGAGTGATAAACCGAAGTGTGGTCCCAGGACCCTGTCTATGAGCCATTATTGCTCACAATGTCATAAGGAGCTTGTGTCAGAATGTAAATCAACTTATCACCAAGGACATTGTTTAACTGAGCTGATATATTTTTCATAGCAAGACTTTCTTGATGAAGAAAGCAGAGGGTTGATTTACATTCTGATATAAGTTCATTATCTGGTCGTGAACCAGCATTTCGAGTAGTTCTGTTAAAATGAAATAAAAAGGTTCAAGGAGCATTGAAGAGAATGAGGTCTTCATGGAGGAAAGGGATATGACAACATATCTTGATGAGATAGCTAAGAACTGAACAGAAAGGCAGGAGCAAAGAGAACAGAGGTAGGTGCTCTGGTAAAAAAAAATGTCGATCACACAGGGGGCATATCAGGGCATAACTGGAGGTGAGTCTGGAAGACAGAGTACAGCAAGGTTGGAGAAAGAGGCTTGATATGGTACACTGAGAAGTCTGAACTTCTTTTGGTCTAAAATGGGAAGCCATTAAAGTTCTTTGAAAAGTCAGAATATGCTTTAGGACCATTGATCAGATGTCAGAAATAAAAGCTGGTCTATAAAGAAGAAAATCACAAGAGAAAAAAAACAAGATAATGGCAGGCCTGGACTTGGAAGGAGGCTAAGAAAATGACTGGAGGTGAGGTTAAATGAGAAGCAGGGATCAAAAATGACTGCCAAAAAGAAAAAAAATGACCGCCAGGTTTCAAGGCTAGGTCACTAGAGTGTTGACGCAACCCACAACAGTGAGAGGGTCAGGCACAGAAGGTGCTTTGCTGGGGACTTTCCTGCCGAGGGGCCTGGTGCATCAATCAGAAACACAGGGCCAGGGCAGCCCGGGTAGTTCAGCGGTTTAGTGCCACCTTTGGCCCAGGCCCTGATCCTGGAGACCCAGGATCAAGTCCCACGTCAGGCTCCCTGCATGGAGCCTGCTTCTCCCTCTGCCTATGTCTCTGCCTCTGTGTCTCTTATGAGTAAATAAAGAAAATCTTAAAAAAAAAAAAAAGAAACAAACAAACAAACAAACACAGGGCCAACAGGGTTGGACGTGGAAGTGAGGGCTTCAGAAAAGACCTGAGAACTGTGCTCAGTGAGTTGGGAGTTGGTACCAGAACACACCAGTGAGAGGATATCATCCAGGTAAGGAGTAAGTAAAGAAGAAAGTCAAGGACTTGGAGAACTGCCTCATTTCAATGGTAGGCAGCTGAGGAGGATGGGGCCAGAGAAGACAGAGATCAAGGATGTCTTAGAGGAAGAGCCTGAAGCCTGCAGGTCCACAGACACCCAAGGAAAAGGGCAATCTGATGCCAGCATAGCCCTCGAGCTGATGCCACAAAGTATGTAGAAGACGAGGCTCTAACACCTGGGAGAGCAGTTGTAGAGACACAGGGAGGGCCCAGATCAGATTTCAGCATTGAGGAGGGAGGGGCAGGTGAGGGAAGGAGGCAGCTGGAGGAAAGGACCATGAAGGAAGGTATTAGCCTGTGCCAGGAAAGGACCTGTAATTTTTTGAGATGAGAGCAAAGGAAGAAAGAACAGCTGAAGAGAAAGAGCAAATCTGAAATGCAGGGAAGTGAAGCTGCAGTTGCTCGCAGCACTGTCCTGATACTGTGTAAAGTCAGCCACCAGCTGAGGCTGGGGGGAGTCAGGCTTGGGCTGGAGCCAGAGCCATGCACCAGACTGGTTCACTGACTTGTCCAAGGTCAAACGGCTGGAAAATGTCAGCTCTAGGACCAGAACCCAAGTCTTCCACCTGCCAAGTTCAGTGGTCTTTCTGCTGCATCAGAAATTCTACACTTTATTATTCTAGTTTGAGGTGACAGGCCCATAATATTTCCTCAAGTACTCTTGAACGAGCTATTCTATTGGGAAAGCAGTCTCCTTTATAAGCAGTCCAACAACACTTTGATACCATTAGAAAAGTACTGATAATGCAATTTGTCAGGTCTCAAAAATATTCATAAGAAATTTTTTAAAATTAAGAAATATTCTTAAAAATTATAAATCAAAACCATTTCTTTTTCCAAGTAAAGATACACAGAACTTTCTAATGATCTGCTTCTTTCTCCACGTCTTTTTAATGAAAAAGTCCTTACAAATGATTTAGAGGAAAATAAGAAAGGCAAGCTTCATTCCATTGAGACCTTCCCTTTGACATGATCCACTCCTTCCTGTAGTTCTGTCCTCTTCCTGGTGACATGTATGACAAGCCCTAAATACCTTTTCTGGGAGAATGTAGGTTATGGAGGTATCCCTAGACAACTGGAAGACTAGGAGTTCCTTGAGTCTCCAGTGCTTGATATCAAGGCCTGGCCTGACTTAAAGTGACCCAAGCCTACATTTAGCCAGGAGCATTCTTTTCTTTAGACCTGAGCAGTGAAATCTACACTGAAGATGGTGCACGGTGGCCTAGAGCTATAACACTCTACTTATTTTGAATTATACTTAACTAGAAACTGCAGGTAAATAGGAAATGGTATTCCTTTTTCTTTAGCTTAAACCTAAGGTTTTTCAACCTTGGAACTATTGTCATTTGGGGCTGGACAATTCTTTGTTGTGAGGGAGCTGTGCTGTGTGGTAGGATGTTTACCAGTATCCCTGGCCTCTACCTACTAGATGACATTAGCACAACTCCTCCCTCTAAAGTTGTGACAACCAAAACTATCTCCCAATACTGCCAAATGTCCCAGGGGGCAGATGGTTAAAACTGTCCCCAATTGAGAAAAACTGCTTTAATCTAATGAGGCCACGTACCTGTTTTACCATGAGGAGAACCCAAAAAGCAGGACTCTGTTCAGGTTGCCCTGTAGAATAAAGACTTCTACCCACAGAGTAATGACCTCTGACCTGGGAGAATCTGATTAAAAAAATTTTTTTTGGCTCTACTCTCTCCAACTCACCAAAATAACACACTGTTAGAAATACTTGTTTCATTGTTCATTGTCCACTAGAACAACTCAGTTTAAGACTGGGAACACTATGGATAAGACTCACCGATTTTTTTCAGTGACAGCAAGAGAGTTGCTTGAAGTCTGCCCATGGCCACTGCTGAATTCTGTTTGCAGACTGCTTTTATGATCTATAGAGGCCCTCAGAATGGAGAGAAAACAAGAAAACAAACAAAAAACTTAGAGATCCATGGAGAGCTTCGGAGGCAGGGTTAGGTTTTAGCACCCAACCATACTCCGCAGCAGCTCTCTCCTGCCCTCATGCTGTTCTGCATGTCTAGCACATGTCATCAAGACTGACCTGTTCTGTGATCCCAGCCAGCAAGTGGGTAAAATAATTCATAGTTATGTGAAAACAAGCTACCTTTCTCTGGCAATAGATTGAGATAGTAGACAGAGATTAGAGGTCCCTAAGAAAGGTCAACTGCAATGGTGGCATGCAGGAGCTGGAATGGCACTGGGCTAGACAGCAGACCAACTTCCAATCCCAGCTGGGCAGGGTGGGGCTGCCTGGTGCAGAATGTACATCAGGGAGTGGACTGTCACAATGTGGGTAGGACAAACTATACACAGGAAATCATTCCTGGAGTAACCCATTTCTACACTGTGAATGAGGGCAGTTTACTGATCAGTTTCTCAAGTAGTAACAAATATGATTCCTCCTTTCTGTGACTATGTCTGCCCAGCCATAACTAAACAATCATGCCCCTCTTTCCCACTAAATCTTAATTCAGCTTCAATTTCCTATTTTTAATTTCCTATTTTTTTAAAGATTTATTTATTTGACAGAGAGAAAATCATAAGCAGATTCCCACTGAGTGCAGAGCCCATGGAGGAGGGGTGTGGGCTCGACTCAAGCTTGATCTCACAACCCCTGAGATTATGACCTGAGCCAAAATTGGGAGCTGGATGTTCAACCAACTGAGCCACCCATGTGCTCCAGCTTCAAGTTCCTTCTCAACACACTTTACATCACTGGTTCCCATGGTGCAGATGCCACGTGATCATGACTTCATGAGGACAACACATGAAGCATCAACATCATTTTGAAACTTGTTATTAATGCAAATTCTTGGTCTCCACCCAAGACCTAGTGAATCAGAATGTCCAGTAGTGTGAGCTGGCAATTCGTGTTTTTAACAGGCCCTCAAGGTGATCTGGATCCATGCTGAAGTTTGGCAGACACTGCTCTACATCAGAGATTTTTAATCCTAGCTATATATTCCAATCACTGGGGAAGATTTTAAATATATGTAAGTCCAGCTCCTAGAGATTCTGAAACTGCCCTGGGGTGGGATTGGTGTCAATTTTAAGAAGCTCTCCAGATTATTTTAACATGTGGTCAGGGCTGAGAATTACAGTTTCACACAGTCACTACTAATCAAGTGGGACAGAGGAGAGACTGCACCTATTTGCTATCCTTATTTCAGGTCCAAACTAAAATATAAACAGTGAAGATAATCTGTAAACTTAGCAATTGTGACATACTGCAGAAGATGCATTACAATATATAAGGTTAGGGTCACCTGGGTGGTGCAGTTGGTTCAACACCCAACTCTTGGTTTTGGCTCAAGTCATGATCTCAAGGGTCATGAGACAGAGCCCTGAATGGAACTCTGTACTTAGTGGGGAGTCTGCTTAAGACTCTGTCTACTTTCCCCTCTGCCCCTCCCCTCCCCTCCTCCCAGGTGCTCTCTAATAAATAAATAAATCTTTAAAAAAATGCATAATATTGAAGTTATAATGATTGAACATACAGCATGATAAAGATAGAGTGAAGAAAAAGAAATACAGAAATCAATAGTTTCATGTTGTCTATCCTGGAAAAAGTAAGCTCTGATTCTCTGTTATTAGTTTGGTTCCTTAGACATAAATATTTCTTGTGTAAAAGAAATGTAATTCTTTGAGCTATCAGTGGTAAATAAGACCATCTGTTGTTGCTGTTATTATTATTGCTATAAACACCAAAAGAATAAAGATAAAATTTTAAGTGGAACATTATTACATTTTTATTATTGCACACAAAAACATTAAGACCAAACAGTGAAATAACAATGTTGAAAGAAGAAAAAAAAAGAAATCAAGAAAAATAACTGCAGCCTTCCAGAATTTCATTAACCCATTCCCCACTATCTCCTGATTGACCAACTCCTCCAGCAAAAGGCTCAGACAGGTTTCCCCCTCCTGGAGATTCTAAAACACTGTTTGGTCTAAGCTCCCTTGTAATACTGTGATAAGCAACATAAAAGCAAGAACTGACTTTAAAAAGGAGAAAGAGAAGCCTACTTCAGTGGCACAAATAATTCTGTTTTCTTATTAAGAAGGAACACTGACAGGAATAATCTTTAACCTTGTGATCTGGCCCAATTTGGCAGAAGCAAGAGCTAAGAGCTACCACGCACTGATCAAAGCCCAAATGGTATCACCCACGTGGAAAGCTGAGATTGCTGTCCTCTCCACCTATCTGAGGTCTTCAGAATAAAATGGAGCAATTTAACAGTAATTCAGGGAGGAAAAGGTAAAGCAAGAAAAGATCACCAAGCCTCTTCTGGTTTGGGACTCTCAGGAGAAAGGTGCCATGTCCAACACCAGAGAGGAAGCTTCAACATCTTGGAACTTAGCAAATGCCCCCAGTTCCTTTGCCTGGGTTTCCAATAAAAAAAAAAAAAACCCACAGAATTTCTGTTCATGTAACTGAAGGAAAACCTATTCCATGTTTCTTATTCATTTACACTTCAGTCATCAAAATATTGATTTTTAAGAGTTATTTGAAGTATAAAAATCAAACAGAAAACTTACAGAATATTCTTAATAAAGCTTAGATGGAGTCTGTTGCTCTATCCCCCAGCTTTGCCTGAAGAGCAGGGAGAAGGATTTGAGTCAGTAAAAACACAAACAGGAAAGAGGCCATCAAACTACTGAGTTCAAGGCAAAACTCAGTATTGTCAAATATTTTTAAGTATGTCCTGGTGACAGCTGGAATCATTTGGCATCTCTTTGGCAAATTAATTGAACAAGGAGATTGGAGAAACAAAGATGTGGACAGAAAGGTAAAATATGGTGGTCCATTCTAAGTGAATAGATCAAATTAAAAGGAGTAAGACCAGTGACATGGCTGAAAAAGTTTAATGATGAGCTTGAATAGCAGACTTGAGGTTCATGTAGGTGGGGCAATAGAGCCCTCTCCAGATAGGTGTCTCCTTTCCTCAGAGAAGTATCTTTAAGTGTTCTGGTTCAATGAAATAAAGCAATGCTGGGAGGGACTGTTCTGAAGGAGTCAAATCCTTCCAAAGTCAAATTGAGCTCAATGGGCCATTCATATTTCCCAGGAAAGTCAAACTAATCTTCCACTGGACCACTTTGGAATCAGACAGGAAGGCATTTGGCTGAAAACACTGGAGCAGGCAGTGCAAACTCAAATGCCTTTGGGTCACCCAGGTAACAAAAATGTGTGCACTGTCAGGCAAAGTGGGTGGAAAGAGCTGGGGTTTGTGATGAACCAGAGAATATATGCCCCACCTAAAGACATTTGGGTGCAAAGTTTTTTTTTAAAACTCCATCTGGCCAAACAAAACATATCCACATGCTGATTACACCTGGAAGACCGCCTATTTGTGACTTCTGCTAGGGAGAAAGGGTCTAGACCATGAGTCAGTTAACAGCTAGGCATCCTGTTTTTGAAGATGTAAAGTGTGTGGTTGTCTCCACTCCCAAATTCCAGAAACGCTGCTGCTCCCTGGGCTCCCCTCTCTTTTCCGTCTCTTCCACTCCCTAACTTCCCTGCTCCAAGGCAAAGTCCCAGTTCTGCATTTCCTTGAAACAGAAGCTGGGCTGCAGATTCCAAAGGAGGGGGAAATGCCCAGAAACCCTTTGCTGGGCCTGGAAGATATTCTGTAACTGTAACTCTCCTGTAAATCCAGGGCAACCCATCTTAACTTTTCAGACAATGCTGGCATTAGCATTAAAGGCCATATTTTTGAAAAACATTCTTCTTCCAGCAGAAGTCTAGAAACTTCAAACTACCAAAAGGGAAGATTCTAATATTTTTAAAATGTTTAAAAACCACTGATATAGTCTCCCTAAAGCTCTCATTTTGCAATGATGTTAACTAATGGAGGGTGGCTTGGAACAGATAATCAAGTTTTAATTTCTCATCTCTGGTGCTCCTCCCTACCATAAATGTTCTCCATCAGTTTGAGGTCAATGTACCAGGATCACAGAGAGACAACCTTCTTGAGAAGCTGCACTTTGATATGTTCCCAGGTAAATCAGACAGAAATGTGTCAGCGTCTACTCCAAGAGGAAGAGTTGAGGAGAGACAATTGGTAAGGAGAGACACAACTAGACCAGTTTCCCCTGTAAACAGGTCAGTGGGCAGAGGGGGCAGCTGCAGAGAAGCTGAGCTTATCTCTGTCTACTCTGTCTTTTCTGTGAAATCACCTAAGAGGATCCTCTTTAAGGCTGCCCCTGAATTCAAGCAGCTATCTCCTATTGAAAAATAGAGGGCCCATATGAAGCTGTCATTTCCATCTCTGGAACCTTCTCTGGAACATCCCTGAATATAGGACAGCTATCCCAAACCTCTAACAATTTCATCTGTGTGGTTACCGGGCTCGCTGCAGTCTTGATCCTGGGCACTTCCCTTAGTATCTCCTGCAACAGTAGGCTGCAGATCACTGCTTTGGTTTGAAGGGTACCCTGTGGAATGAAACACAGGAGAAACTTACCAAGTTCATGCTCTCACACCTGGATGAATGACCCAAGTGGGTGACACAATGTGGCTAGGGAAACCCACACCTGTCTTACGGTTTGAGGCTCCAATGTGATAAATCTTTCCAACAGATTTGGTGCTTATTTTTAAGATTTAATAATGTGGTTGGAAAGGGTGTAACTGCAGAAAACCAGGGAATTGGTAACTGTCCTGATTGGACTCACTACTAACTTGGTGACTTGGTTATTTGGACCTCTGTCTCAATGACTGTATTAGTCAAATATGGAGCTGGGTGACAAACAGAGGTCTTAAGTGTACCAGACCAGGGCTTCTGCTTTGACAACTGGATGGTTTTCCTGTTTTCTTTTCAGTTGTACCACCAGGAGGTGGACAAGGTCTCCTCCTTTCCTCCGCATCTCTACCGCTCAGGCACATCTGTCCTTTCCTTTCAGCTTATAGCCCTGCTCACTGACTGTTGAGGGTCATTAACAACCAATAAAGCTATCATGGAAAAGAGAGACTACACATTCCGCTGGGTTGACAATTATCACAATTGCTGTTTTTCATTGTCCAGTCAGCTTAACTCATGTTGATCCATATCTAAATACTTCTCTACCAAAACAGATCAAGCAAGACCTGAGTAGAAAAATACTGAAGGGTCTATCCTGGCTGTCACATCTCTTCTTCCATTCTCCATGACCCTCGAGGGCATGATGGGTTGAAGATGTTCTACCATCTCAGACTACCTCAGGTATCTGAGGGCTGGTTCTTCCCAGTTGGATCCCTTGGCGCTAGAAGAAACCACACTGGCAGCAGGGCCCCTCCTCCCCCACAGAGGAGATACGCTGCAGGCTTTGCCCTGAGGCAGTCAACTAACTGTCTTAGCTCCTTTTCTTCTGACTTGTGATATAAACCTTGTTCTCTCTCATCCTGCACCTTCCTTCTGACTCTGGCTATTTCTAATTTGCTGGCAGTACTTCCAGACATACTATATTAGAATATTTGGAATCTCTGACCTTTTTCTTTTTTATTTTCTTGGATGGGATTTTTTTCCCCCATCCTGTCCCTCTCTCTCCTTCTGAGTGACTCTACTACCTCAAACACCACCTTCCCACACCCAGCCTGGTGGCATCACATCTCTCCATTCCCTTGCGGTGGCCCAGCAAGCCCACATTAAGCAGTGCCAAGCTGTCTCAGACTATACTTAAAGAGGTACAGTCCCTACTCCCATGGAGCTTACATTCTAATACAGAGAGAGTAAGAATAAAAAGAGATAACAGATGTAAAAATACCCTAACAGTTTTAAGGGAGTGAGCTGGATAGATGAAGGTCCCCTCAATATTCCTGACTATAGAGAACCTCAGAATGTGACCTTCCTTGGAAATAGATGTAATTAGTTTAAGATGAGGTCATACTAGCTTAAGGTGGGTCTTAAATCCAATGATCCTTATAAGAAGGGCATGTGAAGACATGGACACAGGGAGAATGCATGTAATAATGAAAGCTAAGAGTGGAGATGGGTCTATAATCCAAGAGATGCCAAGAATTGTCAGGAACTACCAAAAGTATGGGAAGAATTCTCCCTCAGAGCCTCCAGTAGAAACCAACCTTCTTGATTTTGGACTTCCAGCCTCCTGAACTATGAGAGAAAAAGTTTCTGTTGTTTTACGCTATGAAGTTTGGGGTAATTTGTTGTAGTAGCCCTAGGGAACTATATGAAGAGGTAAAGCTGACAGATGTTAAAACAGAAATAGAAGGAAAAGATTAGGTACATGTATTCAGCTTGATTTGGCTGGAGCATTGGTGGTGGTGTTAAGAACAGGAGTTAGAGAAATATCCATTATTTTCATTTTAAAACACAAATGTATGAATTATTATGTTCCATGCAGTATTCTAAGCCCTTTACAAAAATTAACTCATTAATCTGCACAGTAATTCTAAAAGATTGAGGCCACTATTATTCCCATTTTACAGTAAAGGAAACTGAGGCCCAAGGAGGTTAAATGACTTGCCCATGAATCACACACAGCTGAGGAGTGGCAGAGCCAGGGTTCAAACCCAAGCAGCTTTGCCCTAAAGACTGAATTCCTAAATATTACACAATGCAGCCCCATTTATGTAAACATTTAAAAACCATTGACCTCTACTCTTTCCTTTATAAGTGGAAATAAAAATTCAGACTTTAGGGATGCCTGGTGACTCCGTGGTTGAGCACCTCCCTTCAGCCCAGGGTGTGATCCTGGAGTCCTGGGATTGAGTCCCACATTGGGCTCTCTACATGGAGCCTACTTCTCCCTCTGCCTGTGTCTCTGTCTCCCTCTGTGTCTCATGAGTAAATAAATAAAATCTTAAAAAAAATCGGATTTTATTTCTTTCACATGTCTGGGTCTTTAAGTTCCCACAGATCAGCTGCTATAGGAGGAGGCCCCAGCCTGGCCTGGCATTTGATGACCCACCCAGAGGACAGACCCAGAAGCATGGTTTCCAGCAGAAGCACTGTCTAGGTAGATTTCTTGGTTGGGGATCTGGGCTTTCCTGCCCTCATAATGGACCTGGCAAATGGTGCCTACTGTATCTGGCAGGGAAGGCGCATACAGATGAGGCACAAAAGCCCAACCTTCTCCTCCTAACCTCTGCTGGCCAATTGCACAAGGAGCCTGTGTCATTTCTGGCTGGAGTGACAGCTGGTCAGCAGCCATCTTATCAGAATATAAAGAGGCCAACTTGTGGGAGGTCTGACAGGCAAATGCCGCCAAAAGCAGCACTGAGAAAGTAAAATTCTTTTTTTTTTTTTTTTAAAGAATAGAATCTCATGGACAGATTTTTTGTTTTTTTCAACAGCCACATCAGATATTCTGGTCTCCACACGAAACAATTCTGGTAATTTCAGGCCTACAAGAACACTTTCTACTTTGATTCTCCAGTACTTAATTCCAGTCATTATCTCGGTCAAACTTTGAGTTCAAAGAAAGCATTGTCTGGTAATTGCTTTCTCTAACTTGGGAGACTAAGGAGGAAGGTTTTCCCTTATCCTAGAGATCCGTTTATTATTTGCCATGGAACATCACCATTTGGGGAATTCCCCTCTGCCTTCAAGCAGCCAGGAACTGCCACTCTGTTCTCTTCTTGGATGGCATTTACTTCTTAAAATTTATGCCCTGCCTGTTTCCAAAAAGGACTGTAGGAAGCTTCATAGATTGTTTGTTTCTTGTGGTTGTGTTAGTTGGATCTAGCTTAGCATTCCTCTTAAACAGGGGCAGCCCTGGTGGTTCAGTGGTTTAGCACCCTGCATTGGGCTCCCTGCATGGAGCCTGCTTCTCCCTTGCTTGTGTCTCTGCCTCTCTCTGTGTCTCTCATGAGTAGATAAATAAAATCTTAAAAAAAAAAAAAAAACCTGAGGCAGATGTGTCCATCCTGGTTCCATTTGAGGAACTATTGCTCCCATCTCCTTTCTAAAAGATTTTATTTTTCAGAGCAGTTTTAGATTCTCAGCAAAACAGAGGGGAAGGTACAGATTTCCCATATATTCTCTGCTCCCACATATGCATACCTATCAACACCTCCCACAAAAGCAGTACATTTGCTACAATTGATGAACCTATAATGACACTTCTCAATTACCCCAAACCCATAGTTTACATTACGGGTCATTCTCGATGTTGTACATTACATGGGTTTGGACAAGTTATAATGACATGTATCTATCATTATGATATCATATAATAATCTTGCTACCGTAAAAATCCTCTGGGCTCTGCCTCTTAACCCCTTCCACACCTGTGGCAACTACTGATCTTTGTACTGTCTCCACAGAATGTCATATAGTTGGAATCATACAGTCCATGGTTTTTTCAGACTGGCTTTCACCTTGTAATAGGCATTTATGTTTCCTGCATGCCTTTTCAAGGTTTGACAGCTCAATTCTTTTTAGCACTAAATAATATTCCATTGCTGGATATACTACAGTTTATTTATTTATCCATTGAAGGACATCCTGGTCACTTCCAAGTTTTAGCAATTATGAATAAAGCTGCCTCAAACATCTGTGTGCAGGTTCTTGTGTGGACATAAGTTTTCAACTCCTTTGGATAAATAACAGATTGTGATGACTGGATCATATGGTAAAAGTATGTTTACTTTTGTAAGAAACTGCCACACTGTCTTTCAAAGTAGCTGTACCATTCTGTATTCCCATCAGCGATGGATGAGGTTCCTGTTGTTTTACATCCTCATCAGCATTTGTTGTCACTGGATATTCTAATAAGTTGTGTAACAGTATACTGTTGTTTTAATTTACATTTACCTACTGATATATGATAGAAAGTAACAGACTGTCCCCTCTTGATGGGAAAAAACATTTTTATGTTGCTTGTGTGGCTACCGCAAAAGCATTTAGTGAGTGTTCTGCATAGAGAGGACATTCAGAAAATGTTTGGAGGAAGGATACCAGATCAGAAGGTAGGCAGTCTGGATTGCAGGGAGGTTTCTTAGCCATCATCTGTAAAATGGGGTAAGATCCCCAACCTACGTCACAGGGTTACTGTGATAATTACAAAAATAAAGTGAGTGAAACCGCCTGTATCAACTGGAAATTGCTATGCAAAAGAATAGCATGCTAAGAAGATAAATATTTCTGTTAATCAACAAGGGAATAACTCCCACCTCTATGATCATTCCAGCTTATACAGTTCTGGTTTCCTATAAATCAAAGTTATTTACTTTTCTATAAATCTTGCCTAAAAAGATAAAATTCTAGATGTTTATAGCAGCTTTATTCATAGTCATCAAGAACTGGAAACAAATGTCATTTAGCTAGTAATTGGCAAAACTGTGGTATATCCATACTCTGGAATTCTGTTCAGCAATGAAAAAGAGCAAATTACTGTTAAATATACCAACACTGATAAATTATAAAAGCATTATAATGAGTGAAAGAAGCCAGATGCAAAAGTCTACTTACTATATTACTCTATTTCTATGACATTTT